GCACGCCCCACCGACTCCGTACGACCAAGTCACTGAGCACTGGGAATCGTATATGCTGAGGTTCGACTGCTTCCTTTAAGCCAATGACCTCATGGGCCTTTCTGAAGGCCACAAGAAGAACATGTTCCTGGACTTCTGGTGCCCGTGTAGCCTGAAGAAGCTGCTCTCTGTAGTAGCTCCAGCCCCGAGATCGCGTTACACTGTTTGGACAGCATATATCAGTTGTCCAAACAGATTGATTACCCCTTCCTCGGGCGAAGAGGAAGGGGCAGAGCTGCTGAGCTTGGGAAGAGCTCCATTAACCTCCCCAGGAGATAATTCTGGGATGTGGAAAGTGTGAGCCCCCCTGCAACTCGGCAAACTTCGCGCCTGGGACTCATTCTGCTTTTCCGCAGAAACCAAGGCTCACGTTCATCCCTGCTCAACGTTTGATTTATATCTGAGTCCAAGACAGGCAGAGCAATACTGGAGAATTTACAACTGTATGTATATATAAACTTTAACTCCATTTTCTAAAGATTCCTTCTATTAAAACTAACGAGACAGAAGATAAAATGGTGCCGGAGTCTTGAAGGCAGGGTTGTACTGTAATGTTACAAACTACTACAGAGCTTAAAATCACTTAAAACAGCAGTGATTTATTAGCAAGCTACAAGAGTAATAATTGGAATAAGTGGTTTGTCTGGACTTAATAATTTGGTGGAAGATAAGCTTAACTGAAGAAATGGCTTCAAAGCAAGCTAAAATAACAATGGCTTCCAAAAGTGCTGGGAGTTCCCCCGCCCCACAAGTAAATTACAGTCATTATTAGCCCCCCCTCCTCCTCCTGCTGGAGAACCCTTAACTCAAGAGGTGCTGCAAAGAATTTTAAATGATGCATTAAAAGGCCACACAGCCACGTTAGAACTTAAAATACAGGAAGAGGTTTCTGCTGCCTTTAAGGAGGTCTTGGAAGAGATTAGGGGGCTAGTTCAGATTCATAACCGAGAGATCAGAGAAGATATTATAGAAGCCTTTAAATGCTTATCTGGCTATGTATCCTTATTGGAGGAAAAAGTGGAAGACGTTAATGAGTCTAATATTAATTTGGTAACTAAAATGGACGCGGTCCAAGACAAGGTTTACGATGCAGAAAATGAAATCACAATGCTGCAGTATGGGCAGATGGAATTCGCTCTGAGAATAAGGGGCCTTAAAGAGAATAATCAAGAAAACCTGAAGGAGATTCTTTCAGATGCCTTTGATCAATTGGTGGGTCGGTCAAGAGGGGACTTTGACTGGCAAATATAAAAGATATATCACATTAATTCATGGATTGCCAGACAGAAACAACTCCCAAGAGACATTGTAGTGTATTTTGCCACATGGGACATGAGGAACTTGATACTACAAGAGTCTTATAAAACGAAGTTGCAGATTGCGGGCCAGGAGGTGATAGTTTTGAAGGAAATCCCACCCAAAATGCTGAGATCTAGAAAAGATTATGCATTCCTATTGGATGAATTCAAAAACCATCAGTTACAATACAGATGGGAAGCTCCAGCTGGATTAGTGGTCAACTACAAAGACATCGTCTCAACTCAGTTTGGAAGGCCAGAGATTTCTATAGCAATATACTAAAGGCTGGCCATCCCCCACCTCCAAGATCCAGAGAAAGGGAGCAAGAAGGACAGACCAGACAGCAAGATACTCAAGGATCATTGAAGATGGCCCAAGTTCGGAACTCTCTGGCAGAGTTAGAAGGATCCAAGGAGCAAAGACAAACCCGAGCGGTTACCAGATGTAAGGAACTAAAGAACTAAAGAAGCAACAAGCTCAGCAACAAGCTCAGACAATGGTTCAAGAAGACATAGATACTAGCTCAGAAGCGATGGGAGGAGCCAGGCCGAAAACCAAACTACAGGATTTCCAGATGGCCCTTAAAAAGTTTCAGGAAGCTAAAGATGATAATTAAATTCTTAATTTGGAAAGTCAATGGCTTAAATTCACCACAGAAAAGGAAAAAAATAAATCATTATTTGAAACAATTCAACAATGATGTAATTTGCCGGCAAGAAACACATATTAGAACAAATGACCAGAAATATTTGATGAATGCAAGACTTGGACAACATTTTGTAGCCTCCACCTCAGAGATGCAAATAAACCAGGTAGATAGTTAACATATACGACCAGGAAGAAACAAAAATCTTGTAGCATACAAAATATATATTATAAAGGTAAAGAAGTTTATCAACAGGATATGATCCAAAAGGCCTTCNTCTCTCTCTCTCTCTCTCTCTCTCTCTCTCTCTCTCTCAATTAGATTTCTGCAAAAAATGGCTTAAGAGACAGGGAGTTATCTCCCTGTTTAAGGGGAAATACACACACACACACACACACACAAACTAACCACAGCACCAGCCTGTCACTAGGGTAACAATCAAAAATGCATTGTTAAGTTGCACTATATTAGCAGCAGCAGCAGAAGAAACTTTCTGAGGACAAAAGGGCAGAAATTTAGGTGTTTCTCTTAATTACAATGATCAAGTACATGTAGTTGCAAACTGCTCGTAGCCAAGGCTGTTTTAAGGGAGACCCACCATCCGCTGCTGACTCTTCACCAACCTCACACAAGTAGGAGAAAAAGTCGTCCTTAACGCAGATATCCTGATATCATCCGCCAAGAATATTATTATAGTATTATCCTCACCGAGCTTCCTCTGGATATGATCGGGGTCCCAATCTGACCATATCGACTCAGATCAGGTCAGTAAAGTAAATTCCCACTTTACTTTCCCTTGAAACACACTGGAACAGCGTTTCTCAAACACGGCTCCCAGAATTGGAAGTCCAAACCTCTTAAAAGGGCCATGTTTGAGAAACACTGAACTGGAAAGTCAGTCAATCGGCCTATTTAAGCTCTGCTATTTTCTCAGGGTCAAGGATTGTCTCGAAATGCTGCTTGTCATGCAAAAGGCTCACCCACCCACCCCACCTTCAGGCTGTGAACACAATTACCCCAAAGAGAACAAGTCATTTGTCCTGCTAGACAACTGGGAGGGGACAAGGGCAATGGGAATAAAGCCCTACCACTCCGCTGATATACCAACCATCTAAGATGCCTTCACCACTCATGCCATGCCTAGTCTCCTGCCTGCCTGAAATGTGGGGAGGGGGAATCTCTTTGGTGGCGGGGGGACTCTTCTCATGAGAATAAGCTTTCCTCCACGAGAACAACTAGATGTAAAAGCAGCTACATTCAGTGCAAGGAAATCACCCAGCCAGATTGCCAACACAAACGGGAAAGATTGCCAGCCTCAGTCCAGCAAGGCCGACATGCATCTGGATGTACAGCGCGTGCAATCTGGGAGTGCTTGCCCAATCCGAGTCTGCCGACGGGAGCCCATCCTATCACTGGGGCAGAACAAGCTGGCGGTCTCAGGTGGTGAAGGGGGCGGGAAGGGAGTGCCGAGCCCGTCGGATGGCGAATCCCCAGCAGCGCCTGCTATGTGTAGAAGATGATCTCTGGGATCTGTCCATCTTCCACCGAGGTGCCGTTGTTGTTGCCGGCGGCATAGCAGAAAGTAAAAGAGGTCTTTGTCCCCGTGGTTGGTGACTCGTGGACCACCTTCCGCAATCCTCTGGTTCCATAATGAGAGTCGGGTCCCTGCATGAAGGATTGAAAAATAAAATGGTAAGAGAGGCCATCTTTTAGTCAGGAGCCAGATCTGCTGAGCTGGGACCAGCCCTTGATTCTTATGGACCACAGCAGGCCTGAGCAACACTACCCCTCCCTCCCCCCCCCCAAAGTGCCCACAGCCAGTGATTTATTTTTAACTAGCTCAGTGATGGCGAATCTTTTGTGGCTCAGGTGCCAAAAGTGGGGGGAGTGCAGGGGGGATCGTGCGTGGGCGTGCCATACCCATACTATACGCATGATCCCAGCGTGCATGCATGTACGACCAGCACTCTCCCCCACATTTTTGACATGCTTTTTTCACCCTCCCCAGGCTCCAGAGGCTTTATAGGAGCCTGGGCGAAAACAGCCTCCCCCGCCGCCTCCCCAAGGCTCTTTGGAGGCTTCAGGAGCTTCCCTTAAGCCTACGGAGTGCGAAAAACCGGCCCTATGGGCAAACCGGAAGTTCAGGAAGGGACTTCCGGTTTGCTCGTAGGCCAATTTTAGCCCTCTGGAATGTTCAGGGGCCTTCAGGAGGGTTCCCTGAAGGCTCCAGAGGGCAAAAAATGATTCTACAAGCAGTTTTCTTACCAGAGAGAGCCCCCTTGTGGAGTACTGTGAAGCCGTTACCATGTCAACTCCACTGCGTTGTACAGAAACCATTTTACGTCAGTACAGTAGAAGCCATTTTAAGGCACAACAGCTGTATCTTAACAGAACACACATCCCAAGAGGTGTTAGGGGTGTGTTATCCCACAGTGTTTTTTTCCAGAGAGTAAGTCATCTGTGTACCAAGTTTGGTTGAAATTGCTTGAGGCATTCCAAAGTTATACTGGTGTACACACATATATTGTTGCATTTTTGCCTTTCTTCTTGGAGTCCAAGATACCCACCAAAGAGGGTACAGTAGTCCTTGACTTATGACAATTGTGCCCAAAATTTCCATTGCTAAGCAAGGGAGTTGTTCAATGCACTTTGCTGCAGTTTAAGATCTTTCTTGCCATGGTTGTTAAGGGAATCATTGCAGTTGTTAAGTTAGTAACACGATGTGTTACGTTGTAAAGTGAATCTGGCTTCCCCACTGATGTGTCAGAAGGTCGCAAAGGTGATCAGATGACCCTGGGACACTGTAGCCGTAATAAATGTGAGTCAGTTACCAAGCATCCAAATTTTGATCACGTGACCATATGGATGTGGCCATGTGAAAAATGGTCATAAGTCACTTTTTCAGTGCTGCTGTAACTTAGGTCACTAAATGAACAGCTGTAAGTCGAGGACTACCTGTACCTTACAAGAATAACCAATCACCCAGGTTCTTTGCTTCCACCCTATCACCATCTTGAAGGGCCACCCAAGGAGGTTAATGACTAAAAACAGGACACAATGACTAGCAAATCTTAAAATCAGCCCCCTGAGCTGTTCCTTGCTTTCTCCCCACCAAGCAAAGCAAATTCAGAAAAAGCTCTTTCAAGACTATTCCCTCTTCCAAGACTCCGAGCACCTTCAGCGTGGCACAAGCTGTGTAGCTGACAGTAGGCAGGATCTCCACAGGCTCCTTAAACATCACCCGGAAAGTATTGGAGGATCCGTCACAGCTAAATCCAGTGTCGTTCTGGCCCAGGACGGTGTTGCTATCTGTGTGAATTATCTGAAAAGGTGGAAGTAAAAAAGACAGAAAATGAAAAAATGCAATTTTATTTTTTGGGAACATATAGGCTTTTTAAAAAAATTCTAATATACGTTAATGGAAAAAGTCATAACTTTGCTTATAAGAAAAACAGCAATGTTCCTTTCTGATAACAAGGAGATGGCGAACCTATGAAACATGGGTCAAAGTTGACACACCACAACATTTTGGAGGGCACACCAAACTACAACACCACCACTTCACAACTGTTTTTAAAAGCACGCTCTATTCTTGCATAATGTTGAGAGACTGGGAAGGCTGTATGAGAATGGGTGTGCTTGTTCTGGGGATCACATTCAGAATAACAGAGTTGGAAGGGATCTTGGAGGTCTTCTAGTCCAACCCCCTGCCTAGGCAGGAAACCATATACTATTTCACATAAACGATTGTCCAATATTTTCTTAAAACTTCCAGTGTTGGAGCATTCACAACCTCTGGAGGCAAGCTGTTCTACTGATTAATTGTTCTGTCAAGAAATTTCTCCTCAATTCTAAGTTGCTTCTCTTTTTGATTAGTTTCCACCCATTGCTTCTTGTTCTACCCTCAGATGCTTTGGAGAATAGCTTGACTCCCTCTTCTTTGTGGCAACCTCTGCAATAGACTGCTATTATAAGTAGTGGTGATGGCGTCCCCTATCGACCTGTTGCTTCTATAAGCAAACTGGTGGGGATCAAAATTTGGTGGAAGACAGGACCTGAGGTGTCTCTCAAACCACTTCATCACTATAGACGTCAGTGCAATGGGTCTATAGTCATCCCTAGTCCTTCTCTTCGCTAGATTAGACCTACTCAATTCCTGCAACCGTTCTTCATGTTTTAGCCATCAGTTCCCTAATCATCTTTGTTGCTCTTCTCTGCCCTCTTTCTAAAGTCTCAACATCTTTTTACATCATGCTAACCAAAACTGGATGCAGTATTCCAAATGTGATCTTACTAAAGCATTATAAAAAGGTATTAACACTTCACATGATCTTGATTCTATCCCTGAGTTAATGCAGCTTGTTAATGCAACACACATTATTGGACTGTTTTAGATATTAAAATGTGAAGAATTGTTGCACTTCTGTTTGGAGATGTGACATGCCAGCAGCCAAGTAAGACATTTTCCATTTTTTTAACCTGTGTGGAGCCTGTGAAAGGTTTGCCATCAATGGAGGAAATGACGTCCCTGTACATTCACTTGTGTTGCTTCACAATCCACTCATGCAAATCAAATCCAGAAAGTTATTTACCTGTATATTTACTTGGTAATCTGTGGGGCCATGGATCGAGCCATACAACCCAAATCCAACTATAAATATCCGCTTGTTGACAGAGAACCTGCAGAGTTTGCAAAAAAAAAAGACAGACCAAATCTCTGTGAAAGGAAAGAGGCTACTCCAGTTATAAAGTTTTTCCCTTCTTTCTTCTTCGTCCTCTGGGAGACAGCCTTATTTTGAACACTTCCAAAACCCGAGAGTTGAAAATAACTTAGCAAGTCAGCAACAGCCCCCAATCTAGATCTGCATACCATCGTTTCAAATAAAAATTAATGGGATGGAAACAATAAAAGGGAACAAACCTTTGAAGTGGTGCCAGATGCTTGTTACTTTATGCATCTGATTACCATTTGTTTTGTTCACGGAAGGACCTCAAGGAAGGCTTTTTTTTACTCCAGTATATGAAGTAAAGATGAATAAACTGATTAGCATCAATTTCAGGCTGTACAAATGCAAGGCAATGGCAAGCTATGTGATCTGTTGGCATTATTGATCCACTTATTGTTACCGGAGTAAAGATCAACATATCACGGGCAGCTTAGGTGGCACGCTTGCCCTATTTTTAAACTCTTGCACAAAGTATATCATAGAGGACAGAGGTGTCCAACCTTGGCAACTTTAAGACTTCAGAACTTCAACTCCCAGAATTCCATCAGCTTGGGAATTCTGGGAGTTGAAATCTACAAGTCTTTAAAAAGTTGGCTTTTCCAGCAAGCCTGGCCTGAACAGAATAAAATAAATGATTAATTTAATTGTTAATTTTAATCTAATTTTTTAAATTTTATTGTTAATATTAATCAGGTTTGTTTTTGGATACTTTATTTAATTTCCTCTTTAACTTTTGTAATATGTCTTTTTTTTGTCCTCTGGGAGAAGGGCAGCATATAAATCCAATAAACAGAAACAGAACAGAAGTCTTACAGTTGCCAAGGTTGAACATCCCTGGTATAGAGGAAACATTAACTGGGATAAAGATGGGAGATTAATTGTATGGAAGGAGGTATCCTTCAGATGGGGGTTGTTAGGAATATAATTCTAACAGTTGGGTTGGCAATATATAAATCATGTAACAAAGCTATACCTGTTTNTACCCACCCAGCAACCTGGTAGAGAACCCCTTGCTAAAACTTTTGAAGCCCACCCCTGGATGTAGGGTTTCCTCTAGCTCCTATTGTGGAGACCTCACAGCACTCAATTATGCTAGCAAATTCCATTGGGAAAAATGCCAGCATATGCTCACACAGTTGTTTTCACCAAGTGATCAAAATGGTGCATTAAACTTCTGCCCAGCTTAACAAGTCAATTTTGCAGCTTCAAGCCTCTCCCTAAACCATCCTGAAAATTAAAGTTTGCAAAACGTCCCTCACTCCAAATGACATCACTGCATCACCAGATGTACCTCACGAATAAGTGGTAAAATACAGATCCTGAACGAGTAATATCAGACTGATGGAAGGACTTCCAAGGCAATGAATATGTACACATGTTTTTGCTAGCTATGCTGCTAGCATCTTCAGAGCGAAGTTGAAACTGAACTCGGCAACAAATGTCTCTTCCATCATTTTTCCACTCACCTGTCTGACAGCTGATTTGACCAATTCTGTGTTTGCATACTTCTGGTCTTTCACCTCAACAATAAAGGAATTCAAAAATCTATCTTAAATGTGGGTGCAGTAATTAAGCTGCAGACATTATTTTGGCCATTTGCCAATATCCTCTCTTCAGCACAATGGAGACGGTGCTTTTATACTCCATGCTGATCTTGGCTGTTTTAACAATGTAGATACTGCAGCTGTCATGAAAAATGCAGAAGGATGTAACAAGCGATTTTTCCAATTCATGGATTTATTTTTTTGGAATGAAAATTCTATAAATCTTCTATCTCAGGAATGTCCGTTAGGGACTCACAGGAAGTTGAGGTCAGAGGAAATGGAGAATTTTTATGACCAGGTTTTCTCTTCCTTTGCCTTAATGAAAATGATGCTTAAATAATAAATGTCGAGGAACGGAATGTGGCTTGCATTCTCTTGCAAAATTATCATTTGCTCCTGACTAAACGGGTTGACTGTTAAGGGTTTGTACTTGACATTAAGGAAAAATAATAACAACAAAATGCAACGTACTGAACAATACTTGGGCAAAGGCGTGACCTGTTTGCAACGTGCTTTATCCATGCTGAAAGAGATTGGACATTAAAATGCAAACTGTTTTCCCAAAGAGGTTGAGTTGCCACATCAAGTAATTTGGCCCGAGTCATACATTTAGTCATGTTTATTACGCTATGTCAAAAGCTATTCCATAAAGACTGCAATCAGCCACAGTTTTTTTTCGTCAGCTGTGACAACAGCAAACTGCAGCAGCAGGGAAAGTTTTACAAAACACCACCTTCCCGTTATCTCTGCGAGGAGATAAATACAAAGGCAAGATATGCAAGGAAGCACCCTGGTTTTATCAGCTGCTGCTGCTGCTGCTGATTTATAAGCAATGCTTTCCCATAAAGCTCCATTGTCATTAATTACGTAGTACACAAGTTAATGTGGCCTCTGAAATCATTATGGAACACACCAGTCCACGTAAATGAGTCCCTGGGTCACTTTTTTTTTCAAAATTAGAGGAAGGAAGGAAATCCATAATGAAAAACAAAGCTGTGGTAGATACATTGACTAGCAAATTCCAAACATCTCAAATCCGTTCATGTTTTTTCCCCTCCGATCAGCAGATAACCTCTTTTCTTATCCTTATGGCTTTTTTATGTCTCTCACTCTTTTTCCAGGTCTCTTCCAAGTCTTTCTGACTCCCCCAATATATGCTCAGTATTACTTCCTAAAGCAGNGGGATTTTGTCTGAACTTCTTCCAACAAATATATCTTAAGCAACTTCAGTTAGGGAGAAAAATCAAGAAAAAAGCGCTATCTTCTCACTGATAACCTAATCTTGACTGTGCAGGAAGTTTTAATTAAAAAGCTGCCATAAACCAGAAATTTGAAAAACAGGAGGCAAAGAGAAACATATCCGAGTCTGGCTTTTGCAATTTTGTTCCAATTAATATATTTTGCACAGCTATAACCAACCAGAGGTGGAAGGTAGCAAGGGAAAAAACTGGAAAACTTCAAAGTTTTTCTTCTTTTCTTCTATTTTTTTTTGTAAAACATCAAGATGGCTCCAGCTTCTCTTCCATTTTTACATAAATTGAATTAGCTAAATTTAAGAACCTTGAAATAAGATCTGCATAACTAACTGCAATTTTGGAACTGGACATTTAAGGAAGAACAAAAGACCAAGATGGCTCTCGTTGCTCTTCCCTATAGCAGCTGAAGTAGATAAATTTAAGGTGGACCAGAACTCTGAAATAAGAACTGTATAACTAACTGTAACTTTGGAACTGGATATCATAGAAAGCTGGGAATTTGAAGAACTATGTGAAATTATAAAAAAATATGCATAAATCATTAAAATCGTTAAAATCAAGCCTAAATAGAATTCTGAACCCAGAGAAATAGGTATTTAAAGAAGGAAAAGAAGAATGGGGGAAAGATAATGAAGGGGTAGAAACGATGGGAAATAAAAAGCAGACAAAAAACTCAATTGGGCTTGGCAGTGGTATAGGGAAAATGGTAAAGGGGGGATGTTTCCCAATAAAAGAGAATAAAAAGCAGACAAAAGATGTTTTGGAGGTTGACAGTGGCTTAAGGAAAATTGAAATAGGATGTTTTCCCTCAACAAAGAGAAATATATAAGATTTCTTTGAAAAATTGAAGAGGGTGGATGTGTCAAAACAAAGAAAAGGGAGAAGGCAGGAACAGAGAAGTGGGACAAAAGAGTTATTAGGAAAAACCAGACAACTAGAAATTTTTATATGGGAAAATATAAAGCTGAGATAAGGGGTTTATTTGTAAATATGACAATAAAATGGAGTTGCTAACTGATTGAATATGATAATGGCAAGATAATTAAATAAAGGTCAAAATACATGGAATATGTACAAATATGAAACTGATATGGGGAGGTTGTAAAGCAGAGGTTTGTGATTCACTTTTTTACATGATAAAAATTTCTAGTTGT